TATATATATATATATATATATATATATATATATATATATATATATATATATATACATAAACAAAAAGAGAACTTTTTCAATCGATATTAACTGTCTCCGGCGTGGTCTTGTTATTACCGTACATGCACGTGTGCCCGATAACCGATAGGTTGCCATCAGGATGGCCGGAGGAGAACCAACGAAGAGACACGTGAGAAACAAAGAGCAACACGTACCATCGAGAATACACCGGGCACGTGTTACACGCGACCACATGATCGTTTCCCGATTCTCCTTGAACTCGTATTCGGGACAGCGTACAACACCCGACAACTTTCCCGCGAGCAAAAGAGCGTTTCCTCGGGAGAAACCCGTTTTATTATTTAATACAGGCGCTTCTGTTTCCGAAGTCCTTATGTAACCAGCGAATTCTCGGTCTTATAATCGTAGATCGATTCTTCGAAAATTGCACGCGTGAGCTGTAAGAGCATTGACGTGATTCACCCACTTTCCTGCACGACTCGCAAATATATCCCCCGAAAGGCTCAAACTTATCGTTTACTTCTCGTTTAAGTCGTTAAGCACCTTTAAAGCGATCACAGCCTCGAGTACGGTGCAGTCAAGTGAAGTGAAGTGAATGTGAAGTGCGACCGACGCGGAACGACGACTGGATGCCGAGAAGGCCGGACGGATGTGGTCGAAATGCAGCGAGACCTGGACCGGGTTGGACGTCGTAGGACATCAACGTGCAATGCTGGGCAGATTTCAATTCAAACGCTCACAAAGCGTATTTGCTCAGAGCACATAATATATAGACTAAATCGTATTGATTGCAATGAAAATATAGTCACCAAAAATACTACATCCAAAAAAATATAATCTAATTCTTACAAGTAAACCTACCTAAAAGGTACTCTCCGATTTCTTTTTAATTTGGCACAATATAGAGGAATAAAATATAGAGGAATAAAATATAGAGGAATAAAAAATATTTAGGTCATATTTTTTTCATTTAAAAATATTTAGGTCATATTTTTTTCATTTTGATCCACTTTGAGTTTCATGGGCAGTTTATAGCTTTTTAATGTTCTCACTCCTATCATCAACAAGTATAACAAAAATGCATAAGAGATAAAATTGAATACAAGATCTAGTTAAATAATTTTAACAAAATTGGCATAGCTAAGACACGAATCATTCTAAATTTCTTTAGCCGAGATTCTAACCGAAATATTTCAAATCTGTGCTAAATTAATCAAAAATGGTTCAAATCTCGACCAAACCGAGAAATTATTTATATAAATAATTATTTGTATAATTATTTGTATAAATAATTTCTCGGTTTGATTAAAAGATTCAAACCATTTTTGACTAATTTAACACAGATTTGAAATATTTTGGTTGGAATCTCGGCTAAAGAAATTTAGAATGGTCTCAGCCGATTTTATTAAAATTATTTAACTATATCTTATATTCAATTTTATTTCTTATGCATTTTTGTTGCACTTGTTGATGATAGGAGTGAAAACATTAAAAAGCTATAAACTGCTCGTAAAATTCAAAGTGGATCAAAATAAAAAAATATGACCTAAATATTTTTTGTACTTCTATATTTATACCAAATTGGAAAGAAATCGAAGTGTAACTTTTAGGTTTACTTGTAGTAAAAATCTTATTACAGCTTCAAGAGGCTTTTAGATAAAAAGAAAAATATTCCAACAACCAAAAAAAAATAATTATTATGAAGTATTATTTTCTGTAATTCTATATTCTAAGCAAGAACTCTTACCAAAAAAGTATTCCTCTTTCAATAAAATGAATTATTAATCGCAAATCTATTAAATATTGTTTTTTTTCTTTTGAATTAAGAGGAATATGTTTACTGAAACAGAATACTTTCTTAGTAAAAGAAATCTCTATTAAGAACAAGATTTGTATCGTAGATAAACGACAAGATTTAAGAATAATATTATAATAATTCTAACTAAGAATATTATACGCAGGATTACATTTATCTTTTGGTTTTAGAAGAATAAAACTTCTTGAGACCATGTATAAGAGTATTTCGCTAAAGATTATTTTTTCTGAGTACATATCTTCTAATACACAATGCAAGATTATTTAAAAAGAAATTACTGCCGCAATCACATTAATTGCTGATAAAAAGAATGCGCGGAGTATTGTGACAATATGAGATAATGTTAAAACAGAAAAAATTATCAATGCACACTTCAATCAATGTAGTATCTAGTATAAATTAAAATAGCAAGATGTTTCAATTCCGTTTAACGAAGAAAATTAGAAAACATCGAAAGCACCTCTTTTGAATGATTTAACACAGAATTTCTTCCCAAATATAATCAAACGTTTTCACCAAATACAAATAATATAAACACAACGCGGTCATTGACGGCATTTCACTTCGAAGGATTTAAACGGAAGAACAAATACGAGGAATTCTTAATGTTGTTTACAGCAGAAATTAGTACCTCCACGTTATTCTGCTTGCACTTAATGAATCATGTTGAAAAGCCGCAAGCTTGGTGCTTTGTGGAATCGCAGCGCAGTATGGAAACGTCCGCACAAAAGACGAAGAAGTCAAGAGGATAGCCACGGTAAAATATTTATTATTCGCGCATAGGATTCGTGCTGCAGCAGAAGTTCTTCAAAGTTCACTCGCACGCGTGTGAGACAGAGAGAAATAGAGAAAGAAAGAGCTACCATGCAAGATACAATCCCGCACGATAATACCAAAAGAAAACAGTGAGAACGGGAAGGAGGAAGACGTAGTGGATGATGCATCCCTCCTATCGCGAGCCGCTTTCGTTGTTTCAGCTTTGTAACTTCAGCATTACTTATACATACAATCTGCAATCTTCGCGAGAAATCCGTCGCTGTGGCTCGGGCCACGAATCCCTTCGTAAACGAAAAAATGCGCTTTTTGTGCAGAACGAAATAAAAATTGCAGATTAGAACGTGAGATAAAATTGTGACGGCTTTAACGAAACTTCGGCTTCTCGTTTAGTCTCGCTATAGTTGCTTAAACGTCGCGTACTTATTCGCCGAAGCGACGAGTTAAAGAAGCACGTGCGACATTTCGAACTTGACATCTCATTCCACGAACTCAATGCTAAAGAGGAAATAGAGAAAGAGAACGGAGGACGAAACAAATTCCACACTAATCGTTTATCTCGTGGAAACTCATCCGGAATAATTAAGCGCCTGTCAAATCGCGGTCGCGATGCTAAATGCCACACAGTGGCAAATCCTTGCAAATAAATACATAATTACTCGGGCAAGCGTAATAAATGAATTTACTCACCAGACCGTATCGACGAGCTGGTAATCCGCCGCCGGCTGCTCCATCCCAGTTCGTCCTGTCCCCGATCCAAGGTCACATCAATTCCATCCAGCATACAAGTTCTTACGCTTCCTCTAGTCGCGAGTAGACTGAAGCATGATGATTCCTCGTTAATCTACGTCCTATCCGCCATTGGGGGGGGAGGGGGGCGGTGATCTAAGTAAAAATAAAAAAAATGTAAGACAAAACACGCTGCAGCTTCTCTCTCTTTCTATCCCCCGCCCATTTTCATATCCTTTCTCTCCTTTTCCTTGCCATTTCCTCTTACAGAAATGCAGACATCTCAACTTTGACTCAAAGAGCTTTAGCTTGGTTCAATCAGAAATCATCACGCGGTGTTCTGACCCTTGAAAAATTCGAGTTCACGACGTCGCTCGACCGCTGATTATGTCTGAAAAACACAATTGATTACTACGATCGGCGGAAATTTCACTCGACGTACTCGTCACTCGCGCGGATTCACCATTCGCATCGAGCGAATAAAGGGCGATTTAGATAACGACGTTCGCACAATGGCAATTCGGTACTCATGGGCGGCACGAATTGGCGCGCGAATTTGGCATGAAACGACCGCACGCACACACACACACGACGCTTCACTGTGTGTTCCGCGTGCTAATTGCGACTCGAATACTCGTCACGGCAGTCAATTGCTGTCTAAGCAGCTAATTACTATTATCCGCGCTCGCGATCCAACACTTTACTCAAACCGGCACATACGCGACTGATTACCCACGATGCACTTCGAGCTCGGCAAAGGATGTCGTGAAAATAGCGGATCCGGGTGGTAACGTTTCGGGTCGAACGATGCACAGGGCGGAGAATGACGCACGAAATGACCGTGTCGACAGAGGCGTATCCGCTAAACGCGCGATTCGAATACTATGTTACCGGCTAATTACAGCCGAGTGCCTCGGCCTCGATCGGCACTTCACCCTGTTACCCCGAGCATGCGCGAGCCACGATATGTCTCAATTGCACGAACACACAGCACAGGATAAACGTTCAACGATATCTTGCCTTATGAACTGACGACAACGGCTATTCGACCGCACCCATGCATACCTCCAGTCAACACTCATTCCCAAAGCCCCGATGCACAAGAACAACCAGAGCTCACTTCTCGTCCACTAGAAAAAATGGCGACCTTTTGAGCCCGTCCGGTAATACGGTGACGAAGTCGCTGTATGCAAGACATCTACCGTCTAATTCATTGTTCACAAAGTATATTTTTGGAACCAGCCTATCACAGCGAAGGAGCACTATAGCGCTGGATGCAGTTAATCAGTATTATGATTATCGCGCAGGCGCACATCGTTTGGCGCGAAATGTATTAACGATACGTCAGTGATGCAATCTCGAGTGTCTTCCCCTCCATTTACACACACATAGAGTACTTTGTTGATCATGTAACAATGATCTTCACACATATAGAGCGCTCTGTAAGTGAAGGAGGAAAAATGTTTGCCGGCAAAATCACATCACTGCGATACATAATAAAGGCAATGACAAAAAAATTTGCTCGAAATCGAATTATTATGTTCTTTTTCAGAGCTCCCTGAACTGGTAATAAGTTAGAGTGAAACAAATATTCTGTCTCATTCTAACTTATAACACCGATGTACAGTGGTTCAGAAAAATCCTTAAAAAAATCCTTAAAAAAAGAACAGACTTATCAAGAAGCTAACAAATGACTACGATTATATTCAGTATATACCGCGGATGAACGAACGACTTGAAACATATATTGTAAGAATTCAACGGTAGCTCACGTTTATATACAATACGATGCCCGGAACGATACGAGTGCGGCGAACGAGTCAGGACGAGCAGGACGACGCGGGCGCTTTATCGTATCCGCGTACACGTCCTAATACGTCCAACACTTACGCGAATGCCTTCAATATATACGAAACTTACTTTTTTTCAAACGTAAGTGACGAGGGACAGGAAACGATCTGCTGAGCCCGTCAACATGGCGCACCACAAATAACGCTATCGTCGCGGAAATGCGATAGTTGCGAAGGCCTGTGATTGGCTGTGATTGGCTGTGATTGACGCGTAAGGATACATCGCACGGTGACACGTATCGCGCGAAATTTTCTTTTGTTCAAAATCAATTCGTCAAGTAAGGTCAAAGCAGCGATTTTCCGACACGTGTTTAATCATAGATATTCTTATTGTTTTGATCTTAAAATGTGAAAATGTAAACTTTTGACATAAAATATATGTACACACTTAATATATGTATATTTTTTATACTGAAAACCAGTAAACACCAACTAACAATAATATTACATTAATATTATAATTTCTCATTCATCATTGTAACTGTTACATAATATTTGCATTATATTACATTTATATCGTTGACTAGGAAATTACAATTACGATATTATGATTAAAATTATAACATTAGTTATATTACTATATTGTGTTACTATATAATAATTAATGTTTATTAGAAAATTAAAATATTTGTATTTAAAAACCAAAATAATAAGGTCGAGGATTAGGTATGTGTCCGGGCATTTGTATTTTTATCTTAACGAATGCTTACTGCGGAGATAATTATGTCTTCTACTTGTGCAGAGATAACAGAGCGTTTTTCTGCGAGAGATGTTCGTTTCACTTAACGAAATTTCAAATGTTCACGACTTTTAATCTTGATCACGATCTCGATCTCTCATCTGTTTCGAATATCCGCTACAATCAGGAATAACTCGGACAAGGGAGCTCGTTAAAAGAAAATTAGCTATTATATGTATCTTTCTCTTTCTTCCTCTGACGAGAGATTTTACTTCTTCCGCAGTTTCATTCGCAACCCTTTCCTTTTCTCTCACCCTTTACCTACTGTCTCCTAGTAGGCGGCCCCTTTATTTTGTCGTTCTCTTTCCCCGCCGCTACGCAGTCGCGAAGTTAGACGAAACTCGTTATCGGATAGAACGGGCGATTACCGCCTCGTCTCGAGTTGGTGCTCGACTTTTAACGCGATTATACGTCGCTGAAACGCTAAATTGCACGGCGCAACGAGAGTTAACGCCCGCGAAAACTGTAAGTTCGAACGATGCGCCCCAGGGAAGAGCGGCGCAAAAATAACCGATAAAGCGACGCGAATTGCGAAAAAGAAAACGTCGGGTTTCCCTCGTCATACTTAGCGTGCGATCGCGATACCGCGTAGAATTTGTTCAATGAGTAAATATTGCAACGCTCGCGGCGGTAGAATTATGCCAGTCAGACGTTAAAATGCGAAGGGAAATCTTTCGTAATTCAGGCGTTTCCTCAGGCGTTTCAACATAATGTGCGTTTCAGTGTATAAGCAATGTGTGGCTATAAATGCTCCTTGAAACCCACTTTAGACGAAACTCGGGTCAGAATTCGGTTTATAATTTCGTCTGTCGCGTATACATACAATAACAACATGTGTGAAAATTTACATGCGTCCGCAAAAGTAATTCTGTTTCAACTCGAATCTTGCCTCACAAATTCCGTTTCAAACTTTGCCGCATACTATAGGTCGTCTAAAACGTGCTCGAGGCATTTGAAAAGTAAAGTGCAAAAAAAGAGGCATATTGGCGGCAAACAAGAAAAGTAGCGAGGTTAATACAAGGTAAATATCCCGAAAAGTCTCTCGCGTTTCATAAAACTGTTCTCGCGGCTACGTACTTTTTATACAACTCCGGTGTGCCGCGCAAATAGACCGAAGAAAAGCCGAAGGTAGAAACGCGAAAGAGGTAAACGGAAGCCCGATAGGTCGAGCCAATCGCTCACCTGCTCAACCAATCGCGCACCTGTACTCGCCCTTCGCGAAGCTAAACCAATCGGGTACGGTACGTATCGTTGTTTGGCCAGTTTACGAGCGTTCGCCGCTCCACGGATATCGATTACCGATCGCCTCGGCGGGCTATCGCTTCTTCCTAATACTGAAAAATGGACCGGTGCCTTTGGCCGCGGAATCTCTTGCGAAGGAGCGCGGGAGCTATTGCCGAGGAATTCTCTCGACGCCCGATGGAGGACCTCGCGAAGAATGCTCTAAGTTTCCGCCCGCTTCCGGTCCGTCGGCTTTCGCTGATGGCTGCAATTAGACCTCTAGCTATCCTTTTATAGAGCGCGCGCACGACGTCGCTGCTCGGAAAGATCGGTCGGTAGCGGAGGAGAGTACCATGAGCGAGAATATCCTCCCTAATTGAAGGCGACCCTAAATTTGGAGAAAGTTAGGGAATTAGAAAGAGACAAGTGAAACTGACGTTCGTGTTTTCCGAGAAAAAAAAAGTTTTTAAATTAGCATTACATTCCGGATAACTCGACGAAAGAATTCCCATATCAAATGCCTGGACACACGTTTCGATGGCAACTGATCGTTGTTAAAGTTACAATTGCATCGCGTTCAAAATTACTCGAAAAATCAACACGCACGTACGAAGTGAAAATAATTACTCTTAATTACACCTTAACGAAGCTCTAAAAGGATGGTGATTGAATCGCATTTAGGTATTCTCCGACAATAATTCTTACAAATATGTCCTCTCTTTTCCTTTGTTTTATATGGAATATATTCCAACGATAGTTATATAATTACAATTATTTATTCTTGAACTTGGTAAATTTTTAAACTAAGCTCCAGTAAAAACCACCGTCCTTGTTATGTATCTATTAACAGGCACTGCTAAGAGAGAATGTAATTTGCAATAATTTCATGGCTACATCGCTGATAATTACAAGTGCACTTAACTGACGTAGTCTTTGTAGTTTCTCCTACGAATTTCCCTGTTTCATCCCCCCTTCCCTCGCCCACCGAATAGCTATAACAAATATCCTATTCCTATGCAGAACGGGAACGTTGCAAGGAACATATTGTCTTATCGACCACAAAGCGGTTACAAAGTCCTGCACCTCACGGTAGCTATTTCACTACAAGAGAGCTCCGCTTAAGATGTAACAAAGGTCTGTTTATATTCGAAATATCGCGACAAATTTTCATAGTGTGGTTCTTCGGGCCATTACAGTTTCGAGGATCGGCGGTAAAGGACAAAAGATAAAAAATAGTCTCACAGAAAACAAAAATTACATGTGCTCGTGCGAAACAGAATCTCAAGACGGAGCAAAACGTTTACCTGTGTATATAACGGTGTCCTATGCGATATTTATTTTAGAAAACTTTGCTAACAATGCTTGTAGATATCCAATTTATCAGAAGCTGAATGTAGTACAATTCATCTGGATGATCTAACTGACTCTGAAGTTGTAAAGTCCTAATATAAAATAATATAGTGTCAATTTTTACGGAACAAAATATATCATAATTATATCACTATTAAATATTCCATATATAATTATAATCACTGAAAAAATTAATAAACAAAAAAATTAACGAAATGCTGTAATTTCTGATCATTATATGAAGAGTATATAAAATCAATTATATATTTTTTTCTTTTTTAAGTTTTAATTAAGTAGATGTATAAAATTGACTTGTCACTGTAGAAGGAGCCAGGTCAAATGAAAGTTCAAGATCATGTTAGCCATTCATTTATTGTGACAATGGAAAAAGAATGGCAAAGTGTTCCTTTTGAAGAACAAAGATACTTTCTCAATGTTCTAAAAGGAACATTTTACAATTCTCTTTCCACTATTCTTCATGATAAATACATAAACAAAATATATGATCAACTTGATCCTTAGGCCAAATTGAACCAGTCTCCATAACTATTATAACTGACAGTGATATTATGATTTAAGATACAAACAATTACTAATAAAAATACATATTTATAATGGTTATTACACGATATTATTGTGCAATGAACACATGCCTAAGGTGGCACACTTGTATCTGATACGATTTCTAATAGGTTCTCGTATTGGTATTTAACTTTGGCTCGCTAAAGTGACCCTAATATTACAAAAGGATGCTATTCATGAACTTTCCCGATAGCCTAGGCATAAATGTTATTCCGATAGATAATGCATCTTCATACATACATGCATGCGGCATATGCTCGCGCGACCGCTTCCGATGTAATGACGCCGAGCATCGTGCACGTTACAGGAATTGCAGTGCCTACGAGAGACGAGGGGTGCCGATGTATTCGAATGATACGCCCGACGTCGAATATTGAATATTCATACGTCGAATTTGGCGATGGATGGTGTTGCCCTTATTCGTATCATTCGTCGTGTGAATAACTCAACACGTTCGAACGATATGGGATTGCACCTAGCAAATATTGCGTGTACCATGCATACAAATATTAGATTCTACTAGAAATTACCTGAAAAATAAAAGCATGTTACTTTGTGGAAGTTTACCGAGTGACATCTACATACGCGATGTACAATGTAACTTCTTATATTGTAGAATATAGCAATAATTCATCGAGACATTACTGATAGTTCATTGAACTCATATATCCCAAAATATTTGTGCATTAAATCGCTATACACTTACTACGAGCGGCGTGAAAAGAAGATAGTAGAGGACAAATTAATGATCTGATAAGGTTAAAGTTCTAGAACCTTTTGGCACTTGACACACACCAACAGCGCGGGTTTTTGAAAGGCAGACACATCGTAAGCTGTAAAGTTATTTCATCGGATGTATACGCAAATAACTAAATTGTAGTATTCTCTTTATTTTCATAATTATCTTTATCGTTAACAAGAATAAATATACAACAAGGATATACTTACGTAAAAATAAGAAATAAATGCGGCCTCTTATCGAGATCTAATTGAACCTGATTGTCGTAGTTTTGCTTACGTCTGTAAGATGGCAGCAAGCACTACGTCGGTAAGTAAGCAGATGCAAGCGTTACAGAGGTAAGGTTATGTTGCCTAGTTCTCTCTGTCTCTCTCAGTATCTGTTCTAATTAAATTTTTCCGCCAACACTATTCTAATTAATGTTGCCCAGTTAAAACTACGTTTGGTATTCGTGTCAAAAATCGTCAAAAAAAATGGAAATAGAATTAATTGAATTGAAGGATATAAAAGCTGTACCAGATATAATACACGTATATCCACAAAGAGTAAAGTCAGAACGCACGCCGCTTGTTATTGACAATGGTAATATTTTATATTTAATTAAGTGTTCTAATCACGCTACTTTTTAAAGTAACAATACTATTTGGCATTAGGATCCTACAACTGTAGAGTCGGTTGGGCCACCGAGAAGGAACCGCAATTAATATTTAAGAATCTCATAGCAAAACCACGCAAAGAACGTGGCAAGAAAGATGGGGAACCTCAAGTAGGAAATGATATTGCAAATATCGAAGCTGTTAGATTTCAATTGAAAACTCAGTTTGACAGAAATGTAGTGACTCATTTTGAGGCTCAAGAACAGATATTTGATTACACATTCTCACACATGGGCATAGACACTGAAGGAAGCATAAACCATCCGATTATTTTGACTGAAACGTTCCTCAATCCCAATTATTCACGTAACTGTAAGAATATAATGGCCTATGTTACAATTATAATGCAATTTTTAGCATCTAATAACATACTAAAAGAAGAAAACAATATGTTTCAGTAATGGCAGAATTGTTATTTGAGTGCTACAGTGTACCATCTATATCGTATGGAGTTGATTGCTTATTTTCATATCAGCATAACAACTGCCCACCTGATGGCTTAATAGTTAGTATAGGATATCATACGACTCACATAATACCAATATTGGATGGAAAAGCAGATGCCACAAATGCAAGGAGAATCAATGTTGGTGGATATCATATCACATCGTACATGCATAGACTTCTTCAGTTAAAATATCCAGTACATGTTAATGCAATAACACCTAGTCGTGCAGAGGTATGTATAGATACTAAACATCAAACATAGAAATAATAAAAATTAGTAGATGTCTTCTTTATAATTTGCAGGAGTTGATACACGAATACTCAATGATTGCCTTAAGTTATCAGGATGAAATATCCAAGTGGGCAGATGTTGATTATTATGACACAAATGTTTTAAGAGTGCAATTACCATACATTGCTCCTACTGCTGCTCCTGGCTTAACACTGGAGCAGCAAAAGGAAAGAAAACGGGAATTAGCACGAAGATTAATGGAAATCAATGCAAGAAAGAGAGAAGAAAGGGTTAGCACTTTTACAGAATCTCATTTATATTTACTGTGATAGATATTACTACTAAATGTTAAAGTTTAATTTTATGGTTTACATTTATAGTTAGCTGAAGATGAAGAGCAGCTGAATCAACTATTGGCAGTCCAAGATCTCCTAGAGGAAGGTGAACTCGATGAGTTTGATCAGGCCTTAAAATCTTACTCTCTTGCAAACGAGGCTGATCTAATAAAAATGATTCATAATTTGCAAGCAAAAGTAGAGAGGACCAGACAAAAGATTGTTGCTGCTAACTCACAAGAGGAAAACATTGTGATGGAAGAACAAAAACCTAAAATTAAATCGAACCTTCAACCAAAAGATCAACAGGATTTCGACGAATGGATTGCTGGAGTTAGAAAAAAAAGGTAGCTTCTTCATCTAATGCATACTTATTTTTTATTAGATTAATTACTTATTTCTTAGATTAATGAATCATTTATAGACAAGAAATATTAGACAAACGTATGGCGAAGAGGCAACGAAGACAAGACATGGCAAAACGAAGGACAGCCGCTGCACAGGAAAGAATGCGCATAATTAGCCAGTTGGCAAGAAAAGAAAAGCGCGATGACGATTTCGGTATGCGGGACGAAGACTGGGACGTGTACAAAGTTATAAATAGGGTACGCCCGTATTCTTCTCGTTAAATTGCGCTATTTAGTGTTTATTGTTACCAAATGATTAATACTGAGTAATTACAGGAAGGTGGCGATTCAGATTCAGAATTGGAGCAAGAAAAGCTGCTGGAACTAGAAGATGTTTTACGTCACCATGATCCGGAATTTGACAGTGCCGGATCCAGTGTCCCAATGGTACCCGGAGAAACTCACCAACTTCACGTGGGCGTGGAACGTTTACGTGCACCGGAATTATTATTCCAGCCATCTATGGTTGGTTCTGTGGAGGCCGGGATTGCCGAAACAATCGAATATGTCTTAAAACAGTACTCGACTGAAGAACAGATGCGTTTAGTCAGTAACGTGTTTCTCACCGGTGGACCGACGGCATTTCCGGGTTTATTGGACAGATTGAAACGCGAACTACGTGAAATGAGACCCTTTGGATCAAGCTTTCAAGTGAACATCGCGAAAAATACTAGTCTGGATGCTTGGTACGGTGCAAGAGACTTTGGATTAAACGGTAATCTTCCCGAATACTTAGTCAGTCGCAAGGAATACGAAGAGAAAGGCGGAGAGTATTTCAAGGAACATTCGACGAGTAATACTTACACTCGATCGCCTGATCCTTTGCCAATGATACAAGCGCCCGTGACGTCCGAGCAAGTAATCGTAGAGTGGAAAGCAAGTGATACTGTTGTTGATGTGGAAATCGAGTAGCAGGTAATAATTATAATGTATAAATAAATATAATTATATATATAAACCGAGTATATTTGTATGACAATATATAATAATATGACTAAATAGAGAAACATATATAAACAAACTGTTCTCAAAACTTATATTTTTATCAAGCTTTTTATTTTTATGAACTGTACATAAAATACTATTTAATAATGATGTATATATAGAAGATAAATGAACTTTATACTAAATGGATATTAGTAAAAAATACGACCAATTGTTGTTCATGGATATCTACTTTATTACACAAGTATCTGCGTTTGTTCATTTTATTACGAACAAACTACATTGTAGTCTGTTTGCTGATCACAATATACAGTTCCCAAAACATCTTCACATTTCGCCATTCAACACAATTACGCGGGATACGTATTTATACGTTTTCACTTTTCTTATTTCTCGAGGACGTTCGACATCGGCTTCTGGGCGTTCTTCGAGTAGCCTAAAAAATTATGAAAGTGATCCCTCACCTTAGCGATAAGATTGATTTTAACAGCAACCTCAGTACATATATCCGTTCTCGGTTCGCAGCTTAAGCTAACATCACAATATAATAACATACTGAAATCATCGTCGAGACCCCCCCATCGGCGGTCACGACTAAAGGACTAATTCTTACGCAACGCATTATTAAAGGAACCCATACCGCGTACATAACGCTTCAATTTATTCGAGCCTAATCTGATAATAGGTAGAACGTAGACGGAAAAATTTATATCGATGACAATCTCAAGATCACAAGTGCACAGCATTTGTTCATATCATTCGATCAAGCCTCAAAAATTCCTCGTTTAACACGTCATTTCGCATCACTCTTGACCTGCATTTTATACAGTTACAAGCGTGACACGCACATTTTTATAGACATGTCACATTCTTAAAAAAGAATCTACTGCGATCAATATATATGTACATGTATATTCAATTTTTTTCGTAGAAAACATGCTGAAATATACAAACATAAATCTAATATCAATAGCGCACAATGTTCTGACGATAGTCGCAAACGAAAATTGCAAAACTCGTCACGAAATCAATACGATTCTCAAACACAGTCTCGAACAATGACTGAGATAAAAAGACGGGAAAAAGAGAAAGAAAATTTAGCGAAATTATACATGGTCTTATGCCATATTTATGAGCTTGAATTTGCGGGAATATTTTTCGTTCGCAAAACTCGTCGATCGATCGTACGTATCTTAATACAGCATGAAGAACTTAAAATTTACATATCCTTTACAACTATCACAGTTTGAGGTCGCTGCAAATCAATGTCTCGCTTATAATGACACACTATATCTTATGAAATTTTCATACAGAGAGAATTGTAGAAGGGTAGGTGTGGAGGACACTTGGGTAGTTTCGTTTATAATAAGAGAATGAGGTAGAGAATCCAATCTGCAAAATAAATAAGAATACAACTTTTGATCCGCATATGCTATAAGTGAGGGTCTACTTCCGTTAACAATAATGTAACAGTAATTAAAAGTATATGCGTAGCGCTTTAAAATAATGACAACGATGACGGCAATGATGACAATAGTAATATGATATATGGCTATGATAACAATATATAATCATGATAATAGAATATTAATAATATAATAATAATTATGATAATAAGGGAAGATAATTGGGAAGAAATTGTAGCAATATAATAATAATTCACAATAATAACTAGTATATAACAACGATTCACGTTTTTTCTGCAATATAATGGCTGTATGCATTTATATATACATATATATTTATGTATATGTATATAGTTCGTATGTGGTGGGGCAAAGATTGACAGTTATGTACAGTACATACTTGCCTTAGTTGTACTTCTCCCTCTCCCATTTTTATGTTATACGTACCTATATCCTTCGCATTAATTATATGACAATAATTAATTTAATAGTTATTTTGATGAGATAATGAGAACAATAATAATAATAATAAGGAGAATAATTACAATAATAATAATCGTAATTATATTAGTATCGTTTATACTCATAAAATATCCTATATATATATATATAACACGTATACCTGTAATATAATAACTAGGTATGCAGTATGTACGTAAAGAGAGGATGTGTTCAAACAGGATATGTCGATAAAAACTATGGTATACCAAGCGTCAACTTTTTATTTTCTCTGCTATATATCGTCGTTTGTCTTGTTCTTCTTTTATCTTCATTTTTCGTAAAATGACTATTACAAAAGTGCATGTACCTCGTATCCTTATATTTTATACGTACATACATAAATCGGCGTAGATCTATCTACTGTTCTTCTTCATTGTCGTTTATATATTATTAGTTCGGTAGCGATTAATCATATATATACACACGTATATGTGAGATATATATATATATATATACATGTGTATATATAAAATATTTCATCTATATACTTTATTCTTTCTTAACGGAGCGCGCGCTACGATAATCCTCTTGTTTACATCATACATACATACATACATGCATACATACATACATACATACATACATACATACATACATACATACATACATACATACATACACACTGCGGGTGTATAACACGTGACATGATACTTTCTACGCATCGACGGTACATATCTTATCGTATAATAATTTTGTTCCTCCTATGTGTGTGATTTTAAAACGTAACATCGCTGATGGATACACGCCAAGCACCCGCGATAATAGCAACCCTCTTACACGCTAGCCATCCACCCCTCTTACTCATCAAAAGGTTCGACGACACGCAATTCCGGACTTGCTTTCGTTCGTCTTTTAGTCGAGGCTTTAGGCACCGTTCAAAACTCGAGTTGAGAGATATATTAGCGATAGAAAAGCTTACGCTTGTACTTACGGCCTGGCGACTTTTTTTAGCACCCCCGATAGACCAAATTTTCTTAACCATTAACCCTTCACAGCTCGTAAGGACGAATTAATGTGATAGTACAGAAGTTAACGATAGTGTATGTACTGAAAAAGAGAAGGTAAGAGACTATTAAAATGACGTAAAAAGATGACAGTGGATCTGGCTGTCGATACGATCACGTAGAAGAATTTCGGGGCGTCATCGATTATAATTCATGAAAAATAGATCGATCGCATCTTATTTGTCGTCAAACTTAAGACATACGCAACAAAGGACTAGGTATCGTACGTCGATTACGATGATTGTAATCTCATTTGAAACGTAGCTGTAGGAAACGTCTCCTACTGCATGCAGGTTCCCATAAATACCGCGGACTTTTCTTTACATCGTGACACCACTTCACCCCTGTGTGTGCATCGCTGTCGCGCAAGTGTAACGCTAAGCTGTAAAGAGTGAATGCAAAGCGCCAAGGCGCACTTTCGCCGTCGTTGCAAAAAAAATATCGTTGGACGAGGAAGACCGTTATTATGTATATACATGCGTGGATTTCGTACATGTAAAAATGCGTGTCAAATCTCTCGCCGGCTCTCTGCTACAAAAATATCGATATATTTCAAATGAATCGGTAAACAACGCTCGACGTTGCACGTGGCAGCGCGAGCGCGTCACTTCGTTTATCGTCTACAGTTTTGAGTCGATTACTTTTTACACGGTTTACAGAAATTGTGCTACACGACGACATACGTCTCTCTCTCTCTCTCTCTGTCTCTCAACGTGGTTGTTTTAATCTCGAAGTGCCCTCCCGTATATCTTTTCATTTTTTCTCTTTTTTTTTTACTATTTTACGTTACTCTTCCAAGTGATTCGCTTGACGCACACGGCACTCTTTGTACATCTCTTTTACACCATATTAAATCTAGCTCGACGCGTGGATCAAGCAAATCGCCCACAAGTCGAACGCGCCTCGCCGCAAAAGATAGAGCGATGCGCGTCGCTCCGGCAATAATTGTTCTTACAGGAATAAAAATGGAGCGCTTCGTCATATTGTCGTCGCGACCGCCGTCGCTGTCGAGGCAGAGGAATATCTTATTGCTGTAAATTCAAAGTTCAACCAGCTAAATATCCTTCCCTCGCGCTGCAAACCCAATCCCCATTGTTCTTTTTTTTCTATCATTCACTCACCCGCGAAAAAGATTGCTTTGTGAATTATTTGATATAATAAGATATATTTTGACTCCGTATCGTGTGTTTCATTCGTGCGCGTCTCCGTGTTCGTATCAAACTAAAGCCAGTACTAGAAGTGCGTGTCCCTTTTTCTGGGTTTTTTCTTTTTCTCGTTTTTTAATTGTATATATGTATATATTCTCCACCGCGGTTGGGTGGACCTCCGCGACGCCTACAAAAATCCTACACACTACTTCATTACGCAGGCCTCTAGAAGACTTACGATAGCACGATAAACCTCTATAAAAATAAGAGCTATCCTACGTAAACGTATTACAAAAATAAATGGCATTGTACTCTGCTAAAGAAGCAAAATGGTACAGGCGCAATGTCGAGCGACGCGAGCATTGTCAATTTTTTTATTATTCCCCCCTTCCCTCCTCCTTCCTCCCACCTCATTCCGTCTGCTTCGTCGAGTTTTTCGTTTAGATTCGTCTTTCCCTTGACTACAATTACATTCGTCGGACCGATCGCTAAATTCGGATTCTTCTCTTTCTTCTTCCCTTTTCTTTTCTTTTTTATCTACCGCCCCTCTTGCGCGAGACCTTCCTCAATCGACTTCCTTCTCCCTACCGAAAGTCAGGTTTAATTACATCACGTGCTGCTCGTGCCAGGCGACGCAAGGGTATAAAACGTACGCGAGCCAAGGCTGTGCTTGCGAGGCTATCACAAGTACGAATTCGATCACGCGGAACACGATAGAGCATTCGGTAAAAGTAGCCGGACCAGGAACTGGTTTCGAATGTCAGGAATGAAACTCACAGTGCCCACCCAATGGAACGTCGCGTTTACTCGCGGTATCGCTCATCGGGACGAAGAATGCACGTTCGCGCGAATCGAATTTAATTCTCCTTCGCGCGTAAACTGAAACAACCGACTGTCCAGAAAAACGACTCCCTCCCGAATATCTCCCTTTTTGCGACTCGATGAGAGGTCGTGGAGATTTGTGCGGGCGAAAGGAAGATTACCGAGATGAAGATTCGTTTCTCAACGAGTAACACGGTTTCGGGAAATACTTTCTAGGACGATTCACTGTGTATCTCTAGAAGGGAGACTCAGTAAGGAACGCCACCACCAATAATTCCACACGATTCGATAATTCAAACTCGTTGAAAGTACGCATCACGAAGAGACATGTGTGCGGCTACCTAATCAATTGTATAAGAGTATTAGAGTGTAATGCGCTACATTATCGGGATGAGAAGTCTGAGATGAGAAGAATTTAAGAATATACACGAAAAGAAAAAGAAGTTTGGTTGGATAAACAAATGTTTGGCAAAATGTGAACGAAATGCCGATTGAAATTATCAGAATTTTCTGTTCAAGTTGATCAAATCTTTTGGTAATTTAAACTGAATTCTAATAACTTCAACTAAATCGTTCATACCTCACCAGAAATCAGTTTCTCCGATCAAACTGCTTTTTTTTCCGCTTCTAACGGAGCGATCAGTATGCATTATGAAACGGCACAGATAACATATTACAAACAGTTAACGATAGAACTTAAAAGAAGTGCGGAAGAATTTGATGGATCTAAGTTCCGCGCATGAAAGAGCGAATTCTTAATAACGGGAGACTGCAGAACGTATCGCACGAACTGATAAATTAGGTGATTCGACGTAATATACAAATGATATTTTAATTTATTGTTATATATTACAGGATACACATTAACATTAAATATCGATTTTTTTCGGAAGCTAATTTTCCTACAGATTGCTCGGATAATAAAAAATACGAGGGAATCTAATACTGTAACGGCCAGGTGCGAATCGAAGCGTCTTATATTCCGAGAAGGAAGAAACAAAAAACATACGATATATATGTACAATAATAATTTAAAAAGTCCTAATTTTATTTAAGAGGCAGCTGGATAACCGATTTGCACACCTTCGTCGTTATCTGATTAACAACCATGTTTCTTCCGCACTACAGAATTATAAAAGAGACGTGGACAGATATAACGATCATATTGCACAGAATCTCGCTGTCCTGGAAGCCAAGCGGTAGTAAAGTTAATCACAAAACACGAGTCACTAACGCTAGATAAAAAATACGTGTAAATATATTTTTGCATCGTACTTTCCCGAGATCAAGATAAATATCAACTTCGTGCTCGCAATTTCTCGAATAAAATCTCCCAATAATGTCGCCATTGATATAAAACAATCACAAACGCAAAGCATAATTGCCAATGTTCCGTGGCGAACGCATCTGCACATAATTAAGCATAATTTGCGCCATATCCTCGGGAAAAATCTCAAGTTAACGTATTTGTAAAAAAATCTCATTAAAATACTCGCTAATAGACACAACGTTAAGGGCATTCAGCAAATGAAATCTCTGTTTTTAAATATACGACACGAGCGAACTGAGAGCATCTTATATGTTACTAATAATAATACTACAACAATACTACAAATTTACATATTATAATCGCTCGTATATTGTTGTCATAGAATTAAATTATCCGTGTGAGAGATACTTCCGTATATATCTTGTCGATTGAAAACTAATTCAGAACACACGCTGTCTCTGCGTCTCGTGTCGGTGCAATTCCGCGTGATAAAAGAAATCCAATTTTCCAGTTTCTCGACGGCTGTTTCGCGTGGCTACAGAATTTCTCGAGAAATGTTCGTGCGAAAAGTGTCAGCCGCGTATTTTCTAGTGATATCGTTACGAGCATTATAGCCGCACTCAGCGGGGACAATTGCGCGAGCGCTGAGCAGCAATCGAACGTAATTGATCTTTAGATCTTTAGATCTAGCAAATTAGTCTCGAGCATCAGAAGCCGATATAACGCGACGCATTTCTCGACTAAGCGCGTCCGTTATCTGCACTGTTCTGAGAATTCGGCATTACGCATTACTCAACTCGCTGTTCAAAGAAAACCGTACAAAAAATGGGAAAGTGCGTTGTGAAACTCAAGTTCGCTCTTATTCTTTTGTACAAACGACGAGACAGCAATTCGCAATGAAATCATCACGCAGAGATCAGCGTAAGAATACGTAGGCGGGTAACACTTGCTTCAAGTATTTTACGTATTTCTTGTCTCTTCTTTTTTTACGTAAGGACTCCTGTACGCCTGAGACTCTTAACGCAAGATATACGTTTTTTTTGATTACCTTATCACTGATTACACTATGTACAAGCTGTTTATTCTTTTGTTTCTTATAAATTTCGAAATCGCACTATTCGTCATCTTTCTTTTTCCCCTTCCGCGTGCGATCAGCGCTACTAGTCTATCACGTTCTCGCGTCCTCAACAATGTGATGGTCGTGGGGTCGTGGGACCCTTTCGTCGAATTTCGTACAAACGTTACTACGGTGAAATCGACCCTGCGTCAAATCACGCCGACGGTTGACGTAGGATCGATTGTTTCTCTGGCACTATATAACGTGAAGTGGAGTGAGTCGGTATTAGGCGATATGATGCCTCAGCGATGATAATGATGACAATGGTGATAATGATCTTCCAACTACCGGAAGTGATCAATGACACTATGAAGAATATAAGTCACATAATTAAACGTCTCAGTTGCGAGCGGGAAAAGCGTGGGACAATTGATTGATACTGCACTTTTGAACTCTGTACGCTTTTGCGATACCAAACGTCTACGACGGATTGGAAGATTAGACATCCAATGCTTCACAAGTCGCTTTTACATTGATTTAGCCCCCCCCCCCCCCCCTCCTA